CCTTCCTTCCTTCCCTCCTTCCTTCCTTCTTCCTGGATTGGGCAGCGATCAATCCTTCTCCCCGTTGTCTGTTTGAGGAACAGGTGATCCTCGTTAGCGGAGATCTGTTTCTGGATGCGGCTCCCTCGTGTGCGTGTGAAGGATGATGATACCCGGCGAGGCTGAATCAGCGTAACTTTCACTTGGCAAGAGGAAAAACTTACTTCCCCGCTTGAAGGCGTTAAAAACACGAAGCGTTAAAAAGCAGAAGAAGTTGGTTTTAAAGCTGAACTTCATTTTCCTGGGATTTGTGTGTCAGATTCAAAGGCTGCGTCGACTTGTTTTGCTTTATTTTCCTTCTCCCTTATCTCCCAAAAGGAAACTGTTGCTAGTTTGCATAGACTTTTTAAATGTTTGGAATTCAAGATACTTTAGGAAGAGGACCAATTCTGAAAGATAAATCTCTAGGTTCTGAGATGGATTCCGTCAGGTCCTGGGTCAGAAACGTTGGGGTTGTGGATGCAAACGTAGCAGCACAAAGGTAACAGTGACTATTTCTCTCCCACTTTACCTCTGCTTGTTTGTTTCGGTTTTTTTTTGTTTTTTGTTTTTTAAGAAAATCTTTTCATTTTGCCCCGTTGTTAGCACTTGATATTAAATTTATTCTTTTCCTCTCTGTCCTCCTCCCGATCTTCTCCAGTCAGCAAAAAGTGCAGGTTGGAGCTAGAGCTAGGCAGCAGCGCTCCAAAACCGGAGAGCATCAGGAGTCCTAAAACCCAGAGCGGGGCTCAGGTGACAGCGAGAAGGGATCACCCTTTTATTTTCTGCCCCAGGAAGATGCGTGGGGCTCTGGATTGGTTGTTCCCAGCTGTCCAGGGTACTCCTCCCTCCTTGCTCGGCCACGCAGCCGAACAGAAGGGGACCAAGTTTGAATTAACTTCAGTGCAGATGTCAAACCCGAGCTCCCCCGGCCCGCGTTGTTTCGTTTAATTCACGGTGGGCATTGCCGAAATCATCACCCGCGNCATCGGCCAAGGTTGCCGCGAGAGGGAATTCCGCGCCCTCCCCTTGCGCCCCTGCCTAGGGGTTAGGAACAAACGTAGGAAGGGTCGGAGCGGTATTGCCAGAAATTATCTTGGGGCTTTTATTCGAGGAAATGTATCCACGCATATTTCAAAACGGTAAAAAAGCCCCGCTATAATATGCCTTACCATCGCCGATATATTTATCTTACATGCTCTGGTTTTTCACTTTTTAAAAGTATTAAAAGAAATATCTTGCCCTGTTTGGGCTTTCTAATACCGAGAAATTGCATCTCAGAGGTGCTAAGATCATATCTTGAAAGATTAACCTGCACCCTCTAGCTCCGTCAAACTGCTGTTGCTTTTCTCTAATGTTGAAATAACGCCAGCCTCGCCTTTTGCTAACCTGGCAAAATCATTTCCTGCATATTTATCAATTTGGGGAGGTGGGTTAGCATGGCGAATTTCCTTGAACAAAGATTGGGTGAGATGTATTAGTTCATCCAATACCATGTCTGTCACTTATGTAGACAGAATAAATCTGAGTCCTGGCTTTGCCCTCAATCGTGCCTGAATTAAGGATACATTTTAATGAAAGTTTCATGGGAAGATTTTAATTTGAGATTGTTTTTGGAGACAACTGTGTAAAACTCCGTGAAAATAAACTTGCATTTAATAGGTGGCATTTTGAATCGCGGCTAAACGTAGATGGAAGGAGTTCCGATTTATTTGGAAATGGAAATTATACTTCGATCCCGTTAAAAAAAAATATCCAGCAGGTTAAAGAGAGGAGCTGCACATAATGAGTCAAGGAAATCCTTGAATCCTAGCGCTGTGCCTTTAACTACCGAACATCTGATTCCCTCATCTGGCAGATGGTCTCTGAGCACAGATTTGCATTCATTGTCTTGAAATCTGTTTTCGCGTTGGTGTTATATAGATTTCAGAGGCAGATCTATACACAGATCAGAATACAAAAGGGCCAGGAGGAAAATATCTCCAAGGCAGGGCAGTTTTAAGAAATAAACTAAAATAAACGCAGACGTGGGTATGGTCTCGGGTCACCGCGGGCCGGGCTGGGCAGAGCTCCGGTTTCCTTTAATGGGAAATGCTGCCTACACGGGATGTTAGAAAAAGTTCTAAGGTGAGACCTGACAGCTCTCAGGGTGTAACTTTGGAGTCTGCCGGGTGCCTGGCAGCCTTGGGCTGGCTCTTGCCCCGCAGGCAGCCTCTGCCTACACCCTCCCCCAGACCCATGGCTCTCCCTCTGGGCAATTTTTCATTTTAAATCCCGCGCCTGAGAGCGAAGCGGCCGCTGCCCCTTC